AATTAATTTTTGTATAGCGTCAACTCATAACAAGTGTTATCTGGAGACACTTTACAAACTTTACTCTTTGTCTGTTAACATTACAAAAGAGCAGGTAAAAAGCCCTTACTCATTGTTATGTTACAAAAAGCAGGTAAAAGACCTTACTTATTTATTTACTTTACTTACTTACTTATCCCCCCAGTTAACTTCAACATTCATTTTTGTACTGTATATACCCCCTGTTTTTATTTATTTATTTTTTATTTTATTTATCTTATCTATTCTGTTTAATGTGTATTTGAGCTTTCTTGTCTGTGCTGCTGTAACATCCGAATTTCCCCTCTGGGGATCAATAAAGTATTATCCTATCCTATCCTATCCTATCCTATCCTATCCTATCCTTATTACTATGTTACAAAGATCCGGTCTAGCCATCATGAGCACTTTAGCAAAGCAGCAAAAGTTACAGTGGTAAGAAAAAAACGGCCTTATTAAAAGGCAGAAATCTTCGGCTGGATCCCCGGCTCATGACGAAACAGCACTTCACAGGCCTAGACTGCGTCAGGCTTGGAAAGGGATAGGGGGAGAGATGGGATAAGATGCAGGAAGAGGGATAGGGAGCAAGGGGGTGGGGGGAGGCAAACCGTCCATCAACAATCCGGTGGGGGGGGGGGTGTTCTGGCAGGCCGTCAACAAACGATCTCGAGGAGCCTAAGAGAGCTGGTTAGTTAGGTATATAACGTAGCAACAGCCACGCACACACTGATAAACCTATCCAAAAACTAGTAACACAAAATAATACAACAGCCTAAAATAATTAAAAATTTCATTTCCATTTCACTTAATGATACTGTCTTATATGACATTGGACTACTTTTTGTATATTTACAAAAATGGTAAAAAAAAAAAAAAAGATATACTTATGCACTTTTAATTTTTTATGGAAGGCATCTCGCGACCCCCCCTCTTGGTGGCTGGCGACCCACCTTGGGGTCCCGACCCCCACTTTGGGAACCATTGGTTTAGAGTGCCTACATGTGGCTGATATAGCTGTGTAACAATTGTGGCTTACTACTGACTTCTTCTGCAATAATCATGTCAGAATTTTACATTGAATTGACCGTAGGTATCGTGGGATGTGTTTTGACCACTTTTATTTTAAGTTGAGTAGGGGTTGCCTATAGATTTTTCAAGGAGCACCTTTGCTTAAGGATCAACATTTTTATGCAGAAACTTAAGGGTCAGAGAAGAAGGATGCGCTATAGGATAGGATAGGATAATACTTTATTGATCCCCAGAGGGGAAATTCGGGCGTTACAGCAGCACAGACAAGAAAGCTCAAAAATACACATTAAATGGAATAAATAAAAATAAAAATAAAAATAAAAATAAAAATAAAAATAAAAATAAAAACAGGGGGTATATACAGTACAAAATTAATGATGAAGTTAACTGGGGGGAATTGAGAATTGAGACAGTATTTGCAGAGAATGACAAAATAAAGTGACAAGTGATTAAAGTGACTTGGTGTTACAACTGTGGCTTACTACTGACTTCTTCTGCAAAAATCATGTCAAAATTTTACATTGAATAAGGGCTGAGTGATATGGACCAAAACCCATATCTTGATATTGTTTTTAGCTGAATGGCGATACTCGATATGTATCGATATGTATTTTATTAACAGTGAAAACACATGGAAAAATAAACTACCTGTTTGTGAATTTAAAAAGTAATATTATAAAATAAAAATGTTCCTTAAATACAATAAAAGAGAGAGAGAGAGGAGGAGCAGGGTTAAGAGGGACAGACAGACAGTCAGTCATCATCAGTGAGATGAGAGAAAGGTGACCTGACACCTCTGTAACGTTATTTTAATGCAACACAAACTATATCCATATTTACGATATTGTCTTACCCTATATGTTGTTTGAAAATATATCGATATATCTTAAAAACTTGAGATATTTCCCCTGTCGGTATCGTGGTATGTGTTTTGACCACCTTTATTTTAAGTTTAGTAGGGGTTGCCTATAATTTCTGTCAGAGTTTTGGATGCTCTATCACTCTGAGTCTATCAGTTCACCTTGTATTTGCTGTTTTTCCGTTTCCCCCAACATTTGTTATGCAAGGTAATAGACCATCCAAGTGCAGATGGCAAAAAAAAAGAAAAATAAATCGTAATCTCCTGAAAACAGTAGAAGGAAAAGGTTTCTGCAATTAATGTGTCATTATTTTGCAGGTATTGAGCAAAAAAAAAAAAAAAACTACAAAAGACAGTTTAGAGTGCCTACATGTGGCTGATATAGCTGTGTAACAACTGTGGCTTACTACAATTCAATTCAATTCAAAAAACTTTATTTGTCTCCGGGGGGGGCAATTCAAAGGCACACAGAGCAGTAAAATTTACTGCATAGTATTTTATCATCATCACATAATTGTTATTTTAGTGTGTATTGTGGTGTTGTGCTTTGTTTTTGTTTAACATGATCTTGTCCTCCTTCTTCTGGACTGTATTTGTCTCTTTTTATCATGTCTGTGCTTTCTTTTTGGGTTTGTCTTATATTTCTTTTTTGCTGCTGCCATTTTGGCCAGGCCTTGCTCAAAAAAAGAGGTCATTTGATCTCAAGCAATTCTGCCTGGTAAAATAAAGGTAAAATAAAGGTAAAATAAAGGTAAAATAAAATAAATGAACAACAGTGCAAGTAGACGAAACATTTTAACCTAAATATAAAGTGTCAATTTAAATACAACTTAAAGCTTAAACTTAACTTAAAAATACAAAATATAAAAAGAGTAGATATAAGTGGACAGTGATCGGACTAACAGATGTAAACAGAACTATGTGTAGTAGTGACCAGATGTAAACAGAACTATGTGTAGTAGTGACCAGATGTAAACAGAACTGTGTGTAGTAGTGACAGATGTAAACAGAACTATGTGTAGTAGTGACCAGATGTAAACAGAACTGTGTGTAGTAGTCACCAGATGTAAACAGAACTGTGTGTAGTAGTGACCAGATGTAAACAGAACTGTGTGTAGTAGTGACAGATGTAAACAGAACTGTGTGTAGTAGTGACAGATGTAAACAGAACTGTGTGTAGTAGTGACCAGATGTAAACAGAACTGTGTGTAGTAGTGACCAGATGTAAACAGAACTGTGTGTAGTAGTGACCAGATGTAAACAGAACTGTGTGTAGTAGTGACAGATGTAAACAGAACTGTGTGTAGTAGTGACAGATGTAAACAGAACTATGTGTAGTAAATGAGAAATAAATATATATATACAGAGCTTTGTGCAAGTAGGCAAATACTAAATGATAAGTTATTAAGGTGCATGGTGAATAATGGAACAACAGAACTAATATAAACAATATAACTGTGAAGTTAAAAATGAGATAAATAAAGTGACCGTAGTGCAAGGCCATGCAATAACACTCAAATTACTAATACACATATATACAGTAAAATAGAATATCATGTAAAATTAAAAATATATATATATTTGAATATACAAAATATAGAATATAGAATAATGTAAACAGTGAAAAGTGTCAGTGTGTAAAGTGTACAAGCTGTCAAAGTGTAATGTGCAGATTGGAATGTGTGATGTGTTTGCATCATGTAATCACAGTTCTGTTTTGTTTAGTTCTGTTTTGTTTTTAACTGAAAAAGGGTCAGAGAAGAAGGATGCTCTATCAGTTCACCTTGTATTTTGCTGTTTTTTCCGTTTCCCCCAACATTTGTTATGCAAGGTAATAGACCTCCCAAGTGCTGCTGCAGATGTGTATATGGTAGAATAATGAATGCAAGATTTGTAAATCTGACACCTAAACAGGTTCTGTTCAGCTGCAGCATGTGTTGACCAGTGCTAGCCCAAACTTACCTATGGATGTTAAATACAAATTGAGTAGCCTTATTCAAGCGTGCATAACGATATAGCAGCATCCTGCTGCACTAAATATGTAAATTGTATAAAAAAAACTTCATTTCAGTAATTTCAATGACGGTGTCTACATTCAATAAGCTCGCAATAGCTACTAACAAGTGAACATCCGTTATTTATGTATTGCGTTTGTTCTTATTGTGTAGTGCAGGGATAGGCAACTTTGGTCACAGCAAGGGCCACATTAATTTAATTCTCACTGCCAGGGGGCCAAATTGTAGTCTACAAAAACGATTACAGTCAATTTTGTCTCCAATTTAACTCAACATATACGAGGGATCAAATATTATTATGGACATATTTCTGGTTTTCATGATTTCATGGCAGATTGTGTCATCTTTTCTTCATGTTTCCAATTAATTGATATATAAAAATTGACCTGAGGGCCACCTTCAGGGTTGATTGGGGCCGCCAGTTGCCCACCCCTGGTGTAGTGTGAGAGAAAGGTTGTCTATTAATTTGGTTTGCGTGTGAGACTTTAAATTCAAGCATCAGCTACATATCGTCGCCTATGAGGGACAAAAAATGACTAAAGTATAAATAAATGAATAAATAAATGTTGGGAGAAACAAATATAATAATGTATAAATAAATAAATAATTAAATAAATGCATCAATAAATGTATAAATAAATATATTCATATATTTATTTATGTATTTCTGTGTCCATGTTGTACAAGGAAAAGTAAATATGTAAATGTATTCATTGATGTATTGTTTTCAGCATTTATACATTTATTGATGCATTTATTTAATTATTTATACATTATTGTATGCATTTCTTCCAACATTTATTTATTTATTTATTTTTTAGTAATTTTTTGTCCCTCATACACGCCGCAGCACTTGATGCTACCCCTGACAGCAGTTTTTTTTTTTTTTTTTTTGAGGGTGACAGAAAAGAAATAAAAAGTTAAATAAAAGAAATAAAAAAGTTGGTAAATAAAAAATATAAATAAATATAAAAAATATAAAAAAAATAAAAATAAAATAGAAATAATAGAAAATAAATAAAAAGTTGGTCTGGTGTTTACACATTTGATGGACAGCCGAACTTTTGATTACGTTTTTAGGTATCCGCCATTTTGATTTCCAAATCTGACAGATATTTTGTTGGCTGCCTTGCAAGAAGTATAATTTGAACATTGTCAACTCAGCCGCTCCGCAGACCACCCACCGTGTCACGGCAGCGTAAATGACATTTACAACCGGGGGAAGGGGTTAGTAGTATCTGGAAGCTAACAACGCAGACATGATGGGCCTCTGGGTGACCTGACAGACAAAGTCGCAGAGTTTGTCTGTTAAGCTTTGCAGGTGGCGCGTGCAATGATGATGGACAAAAGGTAAAATGACTCTTTGCCTTTACGTTGGCGATATGTAAGCACACCCCGACTCTGTGTGGTGTGTGTGTCACTGTCAAGTCGGAAGATGTTGCATGTTCGGATGGATGAGGAGGACATTGCATCCTAATGTTAGCCACGCAGCCGCAACAAAGTAACCGATGTGATCCTTTGATGTGTCCGCCGCTTACATCCGGTCGGTAATTCAGTGAAATAACGTTAGCAACATGACTAAGACATTGTTAGCAGGTTGGTTGAGGGTTCTGCATGCTCGGTAAGTGACAGCTAACAGCATCCGTTAGCAACAAGGCCTTGTTTAGTTACAACAACAGACCGTGATTGTGATGTTGTTTAACATAAAAACAATTAAAAAAATACACTAATAGCTTGCAATGCGAAAACGATGAAGTCCTGAGGTTTACAGTCTGAGCTTTAAAGCACCTGTTTGTTATTAAGCATCAACATGTTTGTTGAAGGGATTGGGAAACAGTAACTCCAGGACAGCTTATTTCGCTGTTTCGAAGCGATAGACGGTGAAGTTAAATGTGTTTACACGACTTTAAGATGATATTCATTTCCCATGGTGGATATATGTGGCATGTTCGTGGGGGAATAAGTATGTTTGATGTAAGAGCTGATGGACTGAGTCCTAGTGCACATTTATGAGCATGAAACACTTGCTGTATCTGGTCTGATTTAAGTGTATAGGATGGATGCCTCCTATAATATACATCCTAAACCGTCTCAAGACATACTTCTATATTTTAGCATTCGAGTCCCCTGGTCCTGAATAGACCATTTCTTTCAGGTTCCTTTGTTGCTTTCTTTATATTGTATATATATTTCTCTCTTGTGGACGTTGTGATCTGAAGTTGTTTATTTTTTAATGCATTGTACAGCACTTTGGTCGGCTGTAGCTGTTTTTAAATGTGCCTTATAGATAAATATGACTTGACTAAATATGACTATAAAGCCACTGTCCAGTAACAGTTCCTGCCTGCTGTCACCGTCACCAATCCCTGTTTCAAATGTAAACAAATGTTCTGAAAATGTAAGACTGAGACGTTTTCTCACTACTCAATCATATATTTTGAATGGAAGTATTTATAATTCACCTTTTAATATTGAGTTTCTTTCTTGGGGTAGGGCTTGTTTTGTTCGATTACTCAATTCATTAGCTCCTGATTGGACGTGTGAGGCTATTCTCAAAAACTCCACAACACAGATGTTCAGCACTAACTCGATTACAGCTGCATTGCTTCCTGTTATTTTCCAGAGAGCAGTGCAAACGTCGTCTCTGCACTTAGTTAGAACTGACTTTAATCCTTCTTCTGACTCAATAACAGACTGAAAAAAAAAGTCTTCCTTAATATAATTGTGTAACATTTGTTGTGTCTTATATTGCTTCATCACCAGGTTGCAGCCAGTCTATCCAGGATTAGTGTGTCTGGTGTTTGTATCTACATTGAGGGAATTCGCTGATACCGACTGAAGTCCACACCAACATATTTTAACAAAGCAATGGCTGTTTAGCAAGATCTGGCTTTGGGTCCTTGTCCTAATGTAAGATCATTCAGACAGACAGTGAATTATTATACACAGTTAAATGTGTTACATTTACATGTAAGTTACTCTGCCCATGATCCCTCATGGTATCCTCTTCTCTTCAAAAGCTAAGTGTGTGTGCCTGTGACGGCAGCCATGTTCTGGAAATTTGACTTACACACATCCTCTCACCTGGAGGCTTTACTGGACAAGGAGGATGTCACACTCACTGAGCTCATGGAAGAGGAAGATGTGCTGCAGGAGTGCAAGGCCCAAAACAGGAGGTCTGTGTATTGTTGGCTTTTGCAAATCTGCTTTATATGAATATTATAACATTTCAGTTTTCTGTTATTCCTGTTGGTGCTAACTGGTGCTTCTGATGGATTTGTAGACTTCTCCTCTTCTTGTGCCAGGACCAATGCATGCAGGAGCTGGTCCGCATGATTACCACAGAGCCCCCTACTGGTGTAGAGGAGATGAGGCGCTTCAAGTAGGTGGTTGGGCAGAAAGTGCTGATGTTGTGTTGTATCCAGAAAAAAATATGTTCAGCTGGTTCTGCAATCCATAACATCTCTGCCATTCTGCTGTAAAGATTAGAGCTCGATGTGTGCAGATCCTTTAAAAGAGGGTTCTTGAATCACCATATTATCAAACCATGGATTGTGTATTAAACACAGAGGTTACTTAAGTACCTGTTAGATAGTCCACCCATGTAAATACATATAGTCCAGTTTTCCAGATTACTTTAGTATTAGTGTACAACAGAGCTAAGAAGATTTGTTTTTGTTTTGATTTCATTGCCAGGTGTTCTCTTTATTTATTGCAGGTATTCAAATATAGCATGTGAGCTGCTGACATGTGATGTGGGAGTGATCAATGATAAGATGGGTAATGAGGAGCCTCTGCTGGAAACTCTCTATGCCTTCTTGGAGCAGCCGTCCCCACTTAACCCCCTTCTGGCATCTTTCTTTAGCAAGACCATTGGGAACCTCATCACACGGAAGACTGAGCAGGTAACACACACAGACTCACACTGCCGCTGCTAAATCAAACAGCATACTCGGAGAAGATGACAGGTTTGTTTTTTTTGTGTTCTCCTGATTTAATTCACAAAGCCTGACGGATGCTTGCAGCAAAATCAGTGAGAGTGCTCTCTTTGGGAGATACTCCCACAAAGATGGCTGTAAAGTTCCTACATACAAAGCAGTCCACATAGTTCAGGTTATGCAAAACACAGGGTGCGGCCGGAGGATTGAAGGTCAGTAGCTCTGTCCATCAGAATGGATTTTTGTTCAAGAGAAACGGCTTAAAAAAATGTCTGAAATGTTGACATTTGAAGTTGATATTTATGTTAAAAAGATGATTTAAAATCTTGCAGGTCACCCCTGTGAACTTGACCATCACATTTGTCGATGTCATGTATTCTTAGATTAGGAAAGGGATCGTATAGCTGTGAGATGTTTGCATAATCTTTTGTTTGTAATTATTCTTTCAGACTTAAATTAATGCACTTTAAAAGTTGTTTTGCAAAGTGGCCCTAAGAGACTTTCAGCAAGGCAAAAAAAAGAGGACCATTACCAAAGGCAGCCACATGATACCTTTTTCTGATAATGAAGCGATATTTTTAGGGTTTAAAAGACTCAGATATTAAGCATATTGAGTATTATGCACTTTAGAAGATGCAGCAGACAGGTCTTTGATGTGCATAAAAACAGAGAGAACTGACTTTAAAGGGCATTAAGATTGATTTGTACCTCCACGTGCAGATGTTCGGAAATATTTCCTTCTTCTAAAGATGGAATTTAATTAGTACTGATAAAATCACTTTAAATTATTTTTTAAATGACTTCATGTCAGTAAGAACATCCTTCATAAGTCATCACTCTTCCAGTGATCACTTTAGTCGGTGAGGTTGCAGGTCCTGTTCTTCATTTGAGTTTGGCAACATGATTAGTATTATGTGTTTTTATCACGGTGTTTCCTCTGCTCTCGGTTTTTGTTCAGGTGATTCATTTCCTGCGGCGGAAGGAGGGATTCCTCTCCATGGTCTTGAAGCATATTGATACATCAGCCATGATGGATGTGCTCCTGAGACTCATCAGCTGTGTGGAGCCTCCTCCACTTCGACTCGAGACACTTACTGTATGAGACAAATGGGCCAACATTTTCATTTCATACATCGTACATTGTTAATAATGCAATAACGTGTTTGTTTGTTTTTCTTAACAGTGGCTGAATGACGAGAAGCTGGCCCAGAGACTCATAGAGCTCATTCACCCTGAAAGGGACGAAGAGGTAAAAGGAAATTTTAGTTTTTCAAAATTAATCAGTAAATGATTTCAGTGATAAAATATTCTGCACTCACAAGCTGTTTTCACATATGCACTCCTGAACATTTCTAGAGAATTTCAAAAGGATCCTCTTGATCTGGTTGTTCACCCATGTACCTCACAGTTGGAGACGTTCCCTGTCGAGGGGGGGTCGAAGCTGCAAAGTTGGCTATAGAACGCTTTAATGAAAATATTCCCAGTGTAGCTACACAGAATCAAAAACATCAACGAAACAGTGGAGATGAACGTACTGGCGAACAGAAAGCATAATGCAGCAGGTCAATTATGTGCATGAAGATCACATCGGTCACATGGTTTCTTTGTGTTCAACTTTGTTCCTCCACAGAGGCAGTCCAATGCATCACAGACTTTGTGTGACATCATTCGTCTGAGCAGGGACCAGGCCAATCAGCTCCAAGAGATTTCACAGCCTGATCCTTTGCTTACAGTGCTGGAGTCGTAAGTCATACAGACACACGTTCAATCTCTGAACAGGTTGGGAAGGTGACGACTGACTCTATTGTGTTTCTACAGGCAGGAGTCTGTGGAGCAGTTGTTACAGAATATGTTCTCAGGAGAGCGTACCGAGAGCTGTATCGTCAATGGGATTCAAGTTCTTCTTACGTTACTGGAAATCAGGAGGCCAGTGTGAGTGTGACGCGGTTTCAAATGTGAAGAAATAAACATCACTTCTGTAGTTTTGGCCTTAATTTGTTTTCTAAGATTAAATCCGGGTGAGGTTTGTCATTCCAACAATTTGTTTCCTTATTTTGATCCACTTTTGATCTTTGTTCATCACAGGGTGGATGGTGTGATGGACGCTCAGGGATTTGAAAGGAGTTACACCGTTAACAGCAGCATTTTGTTGGCCATCCAACCACACCTGAAACACTTCCACCAACTACTTCTGGAGCCGCCCAAGGTAGATGTCATATTGGTAGATGTTTGAGATAACTTAATGCTAAACATGTGTATAAATTGCTATAAATAGAAAAATCAGACATCTCATGCAGGTAAAAACATCAAGATGCTAGTAGCAGAAAATATGAGTATCAAGAATAAAATAGTTTTTATTCTGACATTAACAAGCTGTGGTAACACTGAGGGTGAGAACACTCCATTAATGTATTCATATTACTAGTCCCTCTAGGAAATCACAATGTCTTGATCACAACTACTGTTATTTTAATTTAGATTATGATTCACACTTCACATGTTGTAGATTAAGAGCATAATCATAAAGGTTACATATTATGGAGTTTCTCCATAAAAATCCACTCTGATCCTGTATTTGATCATGCCTATAAACCCCTCTATTTCTGCCCTTCTCAGAACAGGCTGTTTCTGTGTCTGTACCTTTAAATATGTAAATGAGCTCTGTCTGACCACGCCCCCTCTCTGGAAAAGCTTGGGTGGCTTGACCTTTCTTGCACCATGCCCCATTGTTTACGGTGAGAAGGCAGACTCAAAGGACAGAACAAACACCAGCTGTGGGAGTGTCACCCACCTAGGGGAGGGGTTACTGCCCTTTGTGATGTCACTAAGGGCTAAGTGGAGCAGGCGAAAGATGGAGAGGAAGGAATTTTCTCATAATTGGGGGTTTGTAGACAGACTAGAGACATATTAGTGTTAGAAAACCGAGGTAAAGTGTACTTTGCACAATGTGACCTTTAAGAAAAGCTCAGTTTTCTTGGCTTATGTTGTGTATAATCTGAAGGATTCGTTCTTTGAACCTGAAGGATATGCACCTTTGGTTTTGCTTAATTTTATTGGTATACAATCTTTCAAGATGAATTTGTTGTATTTTTATTTGTTTTAAGGTTAATTATCATACAAACAGTTCCTAAACAACAGGGGATGCAACTGCTTTGCTGCTGCTGTCATGCAGACCTCCTCAGTGCCAAAACATTCACCATTCATCTTTACGCAGTATGCACAAGGTTTAATATGTTTGTGGTACCCACACTGATTTCTTCATAAGATATCACAGTACTCATGTCATTAAGTAGTCTCCTTTACAGATTTTATTATTAAGCAGTTTGATTGATGAACAAAAGCTTTTATTTGATCGCCACATTTAATCATGGCGAACTCGACCTGCACTCTGACTGATTATGAGGATATTAAATGATACTAATTTACACAATAAATATGTAAAAATCAGGCTTTTTAGGCAGCAAGCATCACAAAAAAAGCTTGTGAAATCCTGAAGAGACTGCAATATGAATATTTTCTCCTTCTTTCTGTGCTTCAACCACTTTCATCAATAGTCATGTTGGAGTCTCTGACATTTAGATGAATGTTGGGATACAGTAGTTTCACCTGTGTAACAAAAACCTTCTAAAAGTGCAGTCTTTGGTTTCCTCTTTGCCCTCTTTACATGTGCCTTTAGCGAAATCCCATGCTGACTTCTCTGGGTGTGCTGACGGAACCCTTAGGGAACACACGTCTCCATGTAGCCCGGCTGGTGGCTTCTCTGCTCTACACAAGCTCTGCGAGTCATGCTGTCGTGGCACAAGAACTATGCTGTCTTAACACGATGGACCTGCTACTGGTGAGATGTGCAAACATGCTGCATTATTTAGAGCACAGATATCAAATGTACTACTGAAAACATTGCGTTTTTTTAGGACTTGTTCTTCAAGTACACATGGAACAACTTTCTGCATCTCCAAGTGGAGCTCTGTGTTGCTGCAATCCTCCGGCCCTGCGCCCATGAAATGAGGCTTCAGCCTGGCTTGGGATCCCAGAAAGAATTCAACCCTAATCCAGATGACTCACGTGATCAGGCTGTGGCTGAAATCACCTCAGAACCTTCAATCACCCCTGACAACACTGCACACAATCTAATGGTGACACATGTAGGTGTCTCTGCTTGACTTGCACGGACGTTTGATCCTCTGAAACGTCTAGTTTCATGTCTCTCAATTAATCAAAACCACTGATTGACTTTATCTTTGTCTCTCACAAGTTGTTTCAGCACTGCCACCTTGTCCAGAGGATTCTGGAGGCTTGGGAAGAGAATGATAAATTACAGTAAGGAATTTTGAGATAATTGATGATGGTGTTTTTGCTATCACGGGGCTCCATAAGTGTGGTGCTATGTGTGTTCAGGTCTGAAGGTGGAATGAGAAGAGGGTACATGGGACATCTGACCAGGATTGCCAACACAGTAGTCCATAATCTGGAGAAGGGCCCCGTTCACACTCAGATTAGTAGCCTCATCACAGGTGTGTGTAGTTGAGTGTGCTCACATTTCTATGTGAAAGAACGTGATGGTAAAATGTAAATTGCTTTACTAATGTTGATGTGGATGCAGAGCTCCCAGAAGACTACAGAGGGCGCTGGGAAACTTTTGTGGATCAGACCCTGTCAGAGGCCAATAGGAGGAACACTATAGACCTGGTAAGCGATTGCACATGCTTATCTACTTCACAGCAATAGCTTTTTTGTACACACTTCCTATTTGGCATATGTGGTGATTTTCTTTGTGTCCAGGTTGGTACTGGAAACCCACGCCCTTCTTCAGAGGATGATATGGAGAGCCCATTCCCTAAAGAACTGACATTACAGCAGGTACAAATACTCCGAGTGAGCACACATGCAAACACAATACTGAGGCCTTATGTGAGCAGAGAGATTGAATCTGTTGTTTTTTTGTATGTGTCTAAGGCTTTTTCAGACTACCAGATTCAGCAGATGACAGCTAACTTTGTTGATCAGTTTGGCTTCAATGATGAGGAGTTTACTGATCATGATGACAGCATTGGGTAAGTGATGTGACGCTCCTCTCTGTTTTGCAGTGCAATATTGTTATTGAGTGTCATTCAAGTGATTTTTTTTTTTACTGTTATTGCAGAGCAACATTTGATCGTATTGCGGAGATCAATATCAACATTGATGCAGGCCAGGAAAGTGTGAGTGCATTTAGATTTGTTAATACATCAGTTGTTCCATATCCTCTCTGTGGGGTTTTAAAATTAAAGTTTTAAAAAAAAAAAAAAAAAAAAAAAAAATCTTAAGGCTATTAGAGGGCAGAAAACAAATGTAACAAACCACATAGCACCATATTATCTTACACAATTACACACAGTTGTTCAAGTGACTGCACACATTAAACAATATTGATTAAATCAGGTTTAATGTTTTATTTTTAGGCAGCATTATGACTATTGATATGAACTACTTTAACTCAACACAGCTGGTTTGTCCACCTCTCCTTTGCAGTCTAACACAGCTGTGTTTGAGGCCTGTTCCAAGGAAAGGATTCAGCCGTTTGACGATGACGAAGAGGACATTTGGGAGGAGAAAGAGATCAACTTTTCGACACAAACCAAGTCTCGTAACAGGTAGACACACCACAGTGAATAGAAAAGGCACTCAACAGTTTGTTTGGAAGTTCTTTATATATATTTATGTTGTGTACGTGAATGATTTGTACCTGCTCATTCAGTCAAACGTTTCATTTGGTTCAAGGTTCGGCGCGTCACAGGTGTCGCAGAGCTCAGTGACCAGTACAGCGTGTGATAGGACAACAGCTCCTTCCACCGAGGCCTCTGAGAGAGCACCAGACTCAGACTCTGAGGAGGAAGAGAAAACTGAAGATGTCCTGGATCCTTTCTCAAGCTTACCCCAGATTGATGCGACAAAGAGTGAGAAATATTTAATTTAATAATTTCACAATTCATTTTTGCTTATACTGTATGTGGAGTAGATATTTAGCAGGAAGCTTATGTACAGTGGATGTGTGTGATGCTCTTGATACCTAGACACTGGCTGGATAGCAGACTTTGGAGAGGTGAACTCCCAGGCACCTGCAGCAGGAACAGGATTTTCAGCCTGGGACACTCCAGAGCCCCAACAAGCTGCCACGGAGGCCGAGGAGAAAGGATGGGCCAAGTTCACTGACTTCCAGCCTTTCTGTTGGTGTGTCTGCCGGTGGTCTCAATATGAGAAATGTATTCAAGGATTTTGCTGAAAGCATTTTTAAGGGGGAAAAAAAGAATAAATATGCATTGTCATGGCAGACAAATAGACCATAATTTAAATGGATGTAGTTTCAGTGACGTTTCCCATTTTTCAGAAGCAGACTTTTGAAGCCCATCAGCGGCAGTCACCATATTGAAAATGCAATCTCAAACTAACTTTCAGTAATATTAGCAGCAGACAAAGAGGTGGAGCTAATGGGGCCTTAAACTGACTGGCAAATAGTTACAACTAGAATGCAAGTTTGCATCTATATCTGAAATAAATGTTCATTTTTAACATAGGCAACCAGATGATATAATGGGAACAAATGATCTCAGTGCTGTGTGAATGTATTTTATGGACTCGACTGCATTTTTCTGAGTGTGTATCTTTGGTCTTCTGTTACCAGCTCTGAAACGGGCCCTAGATGCAGCTCTCCCGTGGACTCGGAGCTCAGCGGATCAGACAACACCAAACCAAACCAAAACCGTAAGTTTCACCAAATGTTGTGAAAATGAACCTCCGACTACCTCGTCGCTGATGTCAAAGTCACACGATGACTCTCCTTCACTCTCTGCAGCGTGTGTGTGGAGTGTGTGTGTGGCAAGAAAAGCTCCACTGGTGGCATCCGACTCGTCCTCATCCAGCAGCTCAGACAGCGATGAGGAGGGAGGCAAGACGGTGTCCACGACCAGTGAGACCATCACCACGGGGAGTGGCAAGGAGACCATTCGGCTCACTGTGGATGCTAAAAACGAGAGGGCAGTCTTCAGCAGGTAAACACACAAAACACAAATGTGCTGTTGCTCTGATTAAATAGATGCTCTGTATCCTCCCTTTAGTGTTGTTCTCTAAAGGGCGTTCTAGAGCTCTTCTAACCCGTTCCACTCCAAGTTTAACCACACAATGTGACCTCCACCATTTCTGTTTTTCTTCTGATGTTGCCTCCTCCTGTCTGTCCCCTTCTTTCTGATGTCCCTTTGACTTCAGAGTTTTCAGACCAGCAGTAAGACGGTATGTTGTGCTTGAGCTCCTCTGCTCGGGAGTGTGGAATGTTTTTCCTTAAGTTGTGTGAAGGGGTTGAAAAGGTCATCATGAGCACAGACGCGCCACATGTTTTCGTTTTTTGTTTGCTTGTTGCCTCTAACAGGATGTGATGTGATGTGACGATAACTTTAAGCCATAAAGTCTTGACGTGTCTTTTTCATCTCAGAAATATACTAACCCACATGTCGACTTGAAGAGACCCTACAGGACCTCTATCCATATGCAAGGCTTATCCCATATTCACAACATGACCCCACCGGTCTCCCCCCCTGGCATGAAACAGTCTGCTCAGCATTTTTAGAAATCAAGTGTCTAGTATCTTGTTTCATTACACAGAAATATGAGAGCACTAAGTCTGGTAGCACTGCTTTATTGATACAAATAATTCATTGTCAACAATCCCACAGTATTATAAGACCCAACTCTGTACGATATATTAGATGTTTCAGAGCGACCACTCTACTAACAGTCTGTCGGGTAGCATGCTATGGAGAGGTGTGGCAACCAGGCCAACATATTAACATTTTAACAAGCCTGTAAATTAGCAAGTCACTAACAAAATGTGCACCTACAAGCATGTTACGATGAAATCAATCCAAGTTGGACTTTTTAAAGTAACAACATGAACACAAACCTGTTTCCCTTTGATGTGGGTCAGTCACATCCAGCTGATGTCAGAAGAATGTATGCAAGGGATGCTGAACGTGCTGGGCATGATAATGGCCAGTGTGGACAGCTTAAGAGCAGATAACTGTGGTGAAATGCAGTCAGTAGCAGAGACAAGCATCTGAAGTGTATCTTAACAGCATGCGCTTCTTGTTTTTTTTGTTTTATTCCAGCGATGCAGATAAGGTGCCAGTAGAGGGACTCTCCATCAAAGAGAGAGAAAGCGAGAAAAGGAAGAAACATGGAGACGGTCCCGGCCCAACCACCGCCAGTCCAGCTACCCAGTCAGCTGCTGTCACACAGTAAGTGTGCGTGTGTTTTTGTGCATCTCAGTTAAAGTCAAGTGGCACACCTTGAAAGGAGTGATGTCACTGTTAATGTCAATAGTTAGACCTGTTCTTTTCTTGCTACAATTAAACAGTCATCTTAAAACCTGGGTAGAAAGCTTCTCCCAAGATTTACCGTACAACTCTACTAATGTCTTCAAAATGTATTAATAATAGTTTTAGTTGTATGAATAGTTTGTAATATTTCGATCATGTTTTTGATTTACAGAGAGACGCAGCCCTCTGCTAATGGACCGGCCTAACGCAGCAGCACTGACACACACATACACACACACACACACACACACACACACGCTTCATAATCTTCATTCAACACACAACCATGCAACTTTGGCTTCCTGTTAGCAGCTCTTCAAAACCCCTCTCGTCCTAAGAAGAAAAGGAGATCCTCACTTGACTGTATGTACACTGGATAACACACATCTACACATGGGTAACCCCGATCCCTCCTGCACCTTCATGACATAGTTGCACCTGAACCGTTTCAAAGAGGAATGTGTGTTTTTAGAAAAAAAAAACATTATAGTGCCGGAACCCCCAAAGCCAAATTCTGTTACACAGATATATATATGAACTATGAAAATGGTTTTCCATTGAATTTTGTGGAAACATTCGATCTCTTGTAACGAGCAGAGGCTACACTCAGAGTGGGCCAGCTGGGGCATTTGAACACTAAGAAAACAACAAATATTACATTTAATTCAGCATTGTTTGTGCATGATAAACACTCTCTGAACATTAAATCATAGCCCAGAGAATTTTTCTATCAGAGCTTTTGACTGTTTACACTTAAGTAAAAGACTGTATTCAAATTATCAGCCACGATTACAAAGCCAAAATGCAAAGCTAGCTACCATTTTCACTTCAGCATTTTTAATGTACATGCCGGGCAAAGTTTTAATCAGTGCAGTTAATGTGCAAGTGATAACACATTTGGCTTAATTCATGTGCAGACTTGATCATTTCTTAATCAAAGTAAGGTTTCTCTGCCTTGATCATGTAGAGCATTAAGGCTTTTTTTTCATGTGTCTCTTCCTCCTCAAACCTCTAATGTTGCTTAGAGTTGTGCGTGTGGTGTGCGTGCGTGCGTGCGTGTGTGCGTGTGTGCGTTTGGTGTGGTGTGTGTGTGTGCGCGTGTGTGTGTGATATATGTCAGTGATTCAGAGGGCATTCTCAGGTGAAATGAGAGGTATGCGGATACAAAGAAAGCACACCTGTGTAACACACACAAACACACAAACAATCATATACATGTGTACACAACCAAATCTTAAATCTATAAACACGTGCAAAAAACAAAAAGCATCCAGAGGACAAAGTGATGTACACATCTTATTTCATATCACCCTTCAATGTAATATTGTGGAATTTGAACCTGTATTAGGTTGTGGCTATTATTGGTAATATGTAAGCGTAATATAAATGTAAACAGTATATATATACACATTATATCTATTTTTGGAATAAATCCAATGTATGGAAGGGCGGTTCTTTTGCAGGTTGCAACGTGTATAATGTACGGTATGTGTGTTGTACTGTTGAAATGAGGCAATAATGATGTCTGTGTTTCGGTTAATACCCCAGCATCAGTTCCTGTCCTCTGCTACTTACTTTCTACATGGAGGTTTGGGAGTGTGAGTCTGTAGTGTGTCCTCCATGTGATTTACTTTTATTAACTTGGGTCTGTTAGCTAGTCGTATGAGAAGAGAACGGTCATCACAATGCGGACTGAAATGCTGCATCAACTTTCTTTCATATCATTTGTTTGCACATTTTCTTCATAATTGCAAAATTGATTGGCAGAGAAAATGAAGGCCTCTCTTTTGTTAATCAGTTGTTTCTTCTTTTAATAACGTGATCTAAATCCAGCCTCTCAATTGTGAGGATTTTCAGCTTTTCTTTGTCTAATAAGTGCTCTAAAAACTGAATGTCGTGGTCAGATAAACAACTATTTTAATCACTTTGGGCGGCAAGAAATTGCAATGCATTGTTTTTCTCATAGGACATATTAGTTTATAGACCATATAACCACATGTTGAGAGCAATCTAATCAAAACCAATGGAAATCATGTTAAATACCAACATCAACAAGACCAGGCTTGATTAAAAAAAAACAGAGTGATCCACACAGTCATGCTTCACTTTCTCTTTCTCCTCGTCTCTCTCTATCTCAGGGCAGGAGTTGACTTTAATTGCATATTTGCCTGTGGAATGATTCACGTAGATTGTTTGTATTTATTTATTTTGAAAGCACTTTTTCAAGAAGCACTTTTTGGTTTGTATTTGGGGGGGGTGGCAAGTGTCAGGACATTACTCCCAACTCAAAGAAGTGGTAACGTTTGACTTGAATGAGTGAATAATGTAGATACTTAGTTTATCTTTGATGGTTTCTGCCAAAGTGTGTCTTCCCAGCAGTTTACAACTGGCTTTCATATGTGTGAAGTAGCGTCCTCTCTTAAAATGGTTGTACAGTTGTAGATTGATATAAAGCAGTCTTTGTTCGATCCTTCTTTCATGTCATGTGACGGAGTTATCAGCAGTAGGAGAAGATGCCTCGCATCCAAAACAGATTCAACTAAGATCACAGACTTTTTTTTTTTCTCCCCCCCTGCTCTTTTTGTTCAGAGCTGTTTGAAGTGAATCACCAAAGGAAGCAGGCGTTAGGGTACGAAAAGAGAAACAAAAACAGGGCTGCTTCTTGTCAGGATGTGCACAGGGTCAGAATATATCATCCTGTTTTTAGCTAAACCTCAGCACTGCATCTGACCCTTAACCTTTTGATTTTGAAGTGTGTGTGTGTGTGTGTGCGTGTGTGTGTGTGTGGGCCTCCTTCACAATGAGAATCTGGTGTGTGTATGCAATGTAGCTACGATGGTGTGTTGTGATAACATGCAATATGGCAGGCGGTACAATACAGTCATCTTCAAGTGCCATTCAATTTGCACATTAGTTTCATTCATCTCATTGAGTATTGTACACAGAGATGTTCCGAGAGCATGTTTTCCTTCAGGATACCAAATCCCAATACCTAGACTTGTGTATTGATAAATAATAAGTTCCCCTCTGATACTAGGGCCATAAATAAATATATATTTATTAGAGGAAAGCCACAGATTGTTGACATTTGGATAGCTGTCTCTATTCTCACACTCTCTGCTAGCATCACAATGTTGTTGTATGTTATTAGTTACCTGAAACCAATAACTGGTTATGGCATTGGATTGCTGCATTCAGTGGAATACTCAGCGTTACCTTACCTTATACTGCATTTAAGGAAGTATCAGGGGCCTGTACAGATCCTGATATCGATATCCAAACAACTCTTAATTCTTCAATCTGCACCTCAAACTTAAATTGGGAAACACGAGGTGTCAAATAGTTTCTTGGCTCTACTGTCTGTTACTTACTCAAGTCCATTTAAATTCTGTCTAGTATCGTAGCTTATCATACAATAGTGTGAGTGTTAATGTATGTATGTGGGGAGGGGGGAGTTGTGTTGTTGAAATGCCTTTTTTTTTGTAAAGTGGACTGATGCTGGTGTTTTTTCTTTTTCTTCTTTCATTTAGAGAGTAATGTGTCTGTTACCTGTTGTCAATTTAGCTTGTAAATTCAGATATGAATACCAATAAATGTGTCTGACCAAAAAGAAGTGTGCGCCTGAGTTTTGTCTAACCTTTAAATCCTGCTGTAACACACACACACACACACACACACACACACATGTAGAGTACACACACACATGTAGAGAGAAAGAGAGCACAGATCCTTGGTGGCACAGATATGTTTACCTTAGGGGCAGGTGAGCTTCCCGCTCTCTACTGTGTGTCTTGCGAAATAACAATTAACAATACATCTCCCCAAGTGCAAACAGTAACCCGCCTGTCACATAGATCTTACTTTGCTGCAGGCAGAGGTGAAATGAGTTTGGGTTACAGTGAGGGTGGGGGGGAGGAGAACCTTCTCCCGCACAGCACTTTTCAGTTTGGAGTCCCGTCTATACATCATTGCCCTTGCACTATATTTGTGTGTGTGTGTGTGTGTGTGTGTGTGTGTGTGTGTGCGCGTGTGTGTTATCATTACGTGATCCCCAATATATCAAGTGTGTCATCACATTCTTCTAAATTTTTACGAGCATAGCCAAACGTCTCCCCCCTCTACCTCCTGTGATTGACCACCACCTTTACTCATCTGCACCTGCATGCTCTATCTGCAGAGAACGGCACACATGTCGAGAGGGACAGTGTGTGTGTGTATGCAGTGTGGGAGGAAAAGAGGAAGGGGCAGAAGGCGGAGTTGTGTTTTGTACTTTTTTATAGGGTTGTGGAGAAACCTGCCTGTCCGCTCGCAGCAGAGAGAGGCGGAGCCTGTGGGGTGTGGGACTCCAGACAAAGAAGACATATACACACTGATACTGGGGCGAAAAGAGAGGCAAGACAGCTGGAGAGCTTCGCTTTTTATTTTTTAACCACCAAAGAAGACAATCTTCAAGTCCTGGACTACTTTTTTTGTGTGTGTGCGTGTGTGTGTTTTGTTCAACTTTGTCCTTGTGTGTTTGTCAGCTTTATGGATTCTTCTGTGAGCTGAGGGATGTTTGTGCTGGAGCAGTGGGTGTCATATCCTGCCTGTAGTGTGCCGAGTGTGGGTTAGTATGTGTGGGATGGAAAAGTGGGGCTGGCACAACCAACAGCTCCGCTCTTAGCTTTATGCCATGGGGGGTTGCCATAGTTACCCCTCGGCTAAGAAGGAAGACAGCAAGACTCTTCAGTCATCTGACATCAGCAGTGTAAAGCTGTAAGTTTTATTTCTCTCTTCTTTGTAGAAACTTAAGTTCATGTTTCCGCCTGGCAACAAGTTTTGTGTCGTCTTTTAGTCTTAGAGGGCGTGTTTAAATGCACTGACGAGATGTATTTTGGGGAGAAACATAACTAGAGAGCTGGCTCCACATGGTATACTGAGGAATGCTCTCCAGATAAGAGTGTGTGTGTGGGTTACATATTTGTCTGATTGCATCAGTGAAGGTGGATTCCTCGAACAGCGGGAACACATGTGAGCTCCGAACTAAGACAAGGAAAGACTTTATGTGTGCTAGCGTTTTTTTTTTGAGGCAGCTGGCTGTGCTGAAGAGGAATGTTTATTTCCCCCACACGGCTCGGCAGAAGTGAAGGTAAACAGACAGCACAGGAGCAGGAGGAGAGCAGGGTCACACACACAGAGGAGTGTGTTTACACCACAAACACAACATTACAAGTAGCTCCGGGTTCATTGTGTTTGTGTGCTGTGACAGCAACTGGTAGCCAAGAGGCGGTAATGAATTAATGCCATGGAGCCGGGGAGCAGAGCAGGATGTTAACAAAAGAAGTTCCTGTGGACATTAGGGAAGTCTGTCACGGTTGTATTTGCACTCCTGTACCTTTGTAAAGCTAATGTTTACATTCTTCTCTGTCACTTTTGCCCTTTCTCTACCTCTCCTGACCTTTACTGTGGACAAAAAAAGGAGCTTTTGAAATCATTAAACTAACTTCCTTGCATTGCCCCCACACACACACACAGACACACACACTACAGTGAAACCCCCACAGAGAGCACTGTGTTTCACTTATCACAGTATGCAAGGTCACACTGAATAAACTCTCAGCTGCTGGGCGAGCAGACGTCTAAAAACTGAGCACAGCAGCTGCATGACCGCTCGACACTTTGAAATATTCCCTTTAATTCAAAGTGCACGCTAAAAGTGAAGCTTTGAAAGAGCCAGAGTGTAGACCACTCATCATCATCATCACCACCCATAGTATCCACTTGGCAGCATGATTTGACTGTATGCAAAGAGGCGGCCTCTTTGCATACAGTCAAATCATGCTGCCAAGTTTGACTTTCCAGCACATGTCGGCGTTCACAAACATCATTCCTACTCTCACACTCTTGGAAACTTGCTGTATCACAAGTTTCCCAAGTGTTACACACTATAAATCTCTGTAAACCTGTACCTTTTCAGGATGCATCAGCAGACCTTAAGCCCGCTACCTTTATCGCCCACAACATAATAAGTCTTTGCAGTTATTTGCTGTGTAGCACTAAGCGCTGCCGCTTCATTAACAGTAATTACTCTGGCTCTGAATTGACTGCCTTCCATTACATTAACTGCTGGTTTATTGGACGTTCAGGTCTGCCGTTACAGCAGTGTTTGCATGTGTTTGCATGTGTGTGTGTGTTCCAGACACAGAGGAGGAAGACAGATAAGAGAGAGTGTCAGAAAGAGTCAAATGTGTTATCTGCTGGATGCAGCTGGAGTCATGAATCCAAAGACACTGACACCACTTGTCTTTGCCTCATTAACCCCCGCAATGTCTTCCCAAGGGGAATTAACAACAACAATCTGGAGGAGCGTCCGTATCTGCTGCAGCAGAATTTGAGCCAGCAGGTCGCACGCACAGACATGGTCGCCCTGTCAGCGCTGCCCCCTGGCGTCGATCGGGCAGAGTGGCTCGCCAGCAACAGTGAGTGGACCCCATTGAACACAGCTGAGAGTGTGCATATGGAGTCAGATTTAAGTGACATCTAGAGAGAGCAATTCATCCAATTAGCCCTCACCTGTGTTTTTTATTTCAAAAAAGTTATTTTATGTGCGTGGCAGGTGTGAAACAATACAATTTGTTTTTTTGGGGGTATGTTTAATTGCTCCCTCTAAATTTGACATAAATCTGATTCCATGCGTGTGTAACCTCTTCTCTCCTTCAGCAACAGACAGGATTAATGTACAAAGTCATTTTTTCCTCATCGATTTTTTTTTTTTTTTTTTCCAGCTGTGGCGTTTTTCAAGCAAATTAACCTCTTCTCAAGTGCACTGTCTGAGTTCTGCACTCCCAGCACCTGCCCGACAGCCTGTGGACCAGGCGACACGTGAGTAACTAACTATCATAAAGCCCCTACTTAAAGGCCCCATTCTCCAAAATCACAAGACACATTATATTGACTTACTTTCTCCTTGCCAGATAATTGAAATGTGGACATTCAGAGATAAGCACACATTGCTGTTGAATTTGTCTGAGGTCAGTTTTTGACGCTTTGGCTTGCAAGAGTGAGATTGTACAGTATCCAAATAGATTTCTAGATACATGATGGCAAATGTAAATATCCATTTTTTTTATCAACTCTGCTGCTTTAGTAAAACATTTAAACAAGCTCCCTTTTGTGATGGGATAGATAGCTGATACACTTCCTCAGGTCACTTGAGTCAACATCAGTTGGGCCTCAAATTTCCATCCTGGAGCCGATCCCAGCTGTCATTGGGCAATATGCAGAGTACACCCAGGACTGGTTCGCTAATCAAACACTTAGAGATGGACAAACACTCATGCTCCTACTCACCACTACGGGATATTTGGAGTGACTAATTAACCCAGCGAGCATGTCTTTGGACTGTTGGGGAAAGCCGGAGTGCCCGGAGGAAACTTGTACATGAGGAGAACATGCATCAGGGATTCAAATCAGAAACCGTCTTGCTGTGAGGAAACAGCACTAGCCACTACACCACAGCACAGCCCAGGCCTCAAATTGTGTGTGGAGTAGAGTCTGTAGCCTGCTCGTAACCTCTGCCTCCGACTATAAGCTGAAATAGACGTCCCTTATTAAATGACATGTCTGCTAGCTCACTGGAACTGGGTAATGTGGGTGATGTGGGCACTTGACACAGGGAAAGAGGTTTTTCTCCGGCTCTGCTTGCATAGATTTTGATACTGTTTGACACTATTTAAAATACTTCATCCAACAATGTTAGAGGAGTGCAAGACTTCATTGTTGCATTGGTTTCAGAAGTTTGCTGTTGTTTTTATCGCTTGTTTTGAACTTAACCCTTGAGATAGCAGACCTCTTTGCTTTGAACACATATGAAACAGAATATGAAATGCACAGCTGTGATTTTAGTTTTTTCATGATCTCAAAGTAACGTTAGCGATGTATGTCCAACACATAGTCGACTATGAGTCATCATTGTTAAATATTATATTTGAACCTACTAGGATTACATCATAATATTTAAAACACAGTGTCTGTTTATTTGCTTTATGATGGGGACCGTTATCGTGTTAATTAATGATGGCATGCGTTTGGTGTTTTAGGGTTTATGTTTGGACCGATGATCACGGCAGGAAGCTCAAGTGCTCTGCACCGCTTTACTTTGACTATGCCATGTCGTACATTCAGGAGCTACTGACTGATGAAGAGGTGTTCCCCACAAAAACAGGTAAAAATATATTATATCCATAATTTCATGCAATAAACCCCAACTTCACTCCAAGCCTTAAGTCCTTCCCCCCTTTTTCCCCTCCAGGCTCCGTGTTTCCGACCGGCTTTGTCTTTCTGGTCCAGAAGGTGTTTTTGCTGTTTTTCAGGACTCTTGCGCACATTTATTGGTCCCACTACAAAGAGACCCTCGCGCTGGGCCTGCACCCACACCTCAACACACTGTTCACACACCTCACACTCTTCTGCCAGCAGCACGGCCTGTTGGACCCAGAGGACACGGAGCCAATGCAGGACCTTATCACAGCTCTGGGACAGCAAAGCTGAACCTACGGAGCAAACAAAAACATGTTATACACTCATATTTCCACACGCTATTTTACATATCCGTCACCACTCTGGGCTGAACTCAAACTTATTTCACAGAATGGCTGATAGAAGAGAAAACAGTTCTGGAGCATCAAGGAGTCCATTTCGCTTTAATAGCTTTCAATAATCCAATCAGACCAGACCAGTGTCGTCTGGTCCTTATGTATCACTTATAGCCATTGCTATTCTGCATGTTAGTGTATTCAAACGGGCCTGGCATTATTATATTTCCAAAAGGTCAGAATCTTCAGGATGACTTGTGTCCGGTGTCTTTTTCCTGTGAGTCATCAAATGACACAAAGAGTTCAAGTTCATATAAAAAAAGTGCCATTGTTACATTTTGAACATTTGCTAAAACCCATAAGGAGATGTAGCAATGCAAATGTGAATAATTATTCATGACTCTCCATCTGCATGAAAACCTGTAGCTCTACATCTGAATGTATGGTTCTGTTCTCTGTAATAAACTTTTATTAAGGTTGAGTAAAGAATTAGATTGCATTTTAGTGATTTAAAAGTGTAATGAATATTGGGAAGGACACATTTTTCAATGGCATGTATCAGTCTTATTCTGTTCAGTATTAAGTGTTTTTCTAGTGCTGCGAAATCAACACGTCTCCAAGTGTTTAGTTTTAGAGAGAGGGAGCACCACCTGCAGGAAGCACAGGAGTCCTTCATGTTTCCCATTTTAACCTTCACCGTAGCCGCAGTTCACTGCAGTGTGTAAATGTTTGATTGGTTGGCTGCAGCACATCGGATCTGAAATAAAGAGCTGAGTTTCCGCTTTCATCTGAAGGTGTCATAAAAACCCTCCAGTACTCTCAGAGCTGGAAAGTCTGCACTCACTGTAAACATTTGTTATTGTTCATTTTATATTCAGTGACTTGTATTGAAGCCAAAATAATAAAAAAAAACATGCAACTGTTCAAATGCAAATGGTCTGAGTTGTAGATCTTAACTGGAATAAACATTTGGCTTGGTAATCAACACAGTCAGCAGTTGGAGCTGCATATACAGTATGTAAACCAATCTGCCACAAGATGCTTCATTTAAATACACAACATGTCCGAGAATGATCAATGATGAGAAAAAGTGTTCTGAACGATAACAGTAATTCTCAAACTACATGATAACTGTCTGCACTTAATTAATTACAAACAACACCTTTGAATAGGTAGTTTGGTAGACTTCACTGGTGCCAAATAGACAAAGTTAGGGACTAACCCACTGACTGATGTTAGCATACTGGGTGATCAAATCCCAGTCGACATCAAATGATGGTGGCAAAGAATATTAGAACAAGATTATTTCTAAAAACTTCAGTATAGGTGTGATAACCATGCATCAGTATCAATATTACTTCTACTCTGAAGAGCGGCTGGAAATCCAAAATAAATATATAAGTCATGGCTCGATGGCAAACACAAAATTCTTTGTGAACATTTCCAAGGAGGGGAAAAATCCAGGAACTGCAGGGATCACTTTTTATGTGGAGACAAAAGATGCTTTTGCCTTTTCTTCCACGCGAGTTAGAAAAGAATACTCAGGGGTTAAAAGTGATCAGATACTGATAATATGAAGTCACTCTCAGATGGCCCTCAGTATATCTGTGAGCAGAGCATCACTCTGTGCCTGCAGAAGAAGTAAATGTGTAGAGTTTGTGTATTTGTACAGTAAAGAGAACAAAAAAAAACTATTCTTATGGGGATTGTTAGATGTGTTTTTGTTCAAACATAATAGAAGTCAGGGCAGGTTTGTATCAGCCCATTCACTCATGATAACACCTTTTATGGGGTAAAATTGTGAGCATGTAGTCTCATTATTTCACCACAAAGATGTGCAAAATGTTAACTCATAACAATGGAAAAAACTAAATCTAAAAAAAAAAGCTGAAAGCAATGGTATGTAAAACGTGAAGATTTTTTGGGATATTATTAGAACTGCAAGCATTATCCTTCCTCAAATTAAAAAACAGGACGACTAATTCCATGAAAGATGCAGTAAATTTATCGAAACAAACTGTGGAGAGTACCTGCAGGATTAAGGGGGATACTAAGTCAAAATTAAACTGCCATCTCTTTTTACCTTTCAGCTCCAAAAAAAAACTGAACCTGACGAAATGAAGAAATGTCCAGCTTCTTTTTACTTCACAATATCCAGTTTCACCTCTAAAAGACTCTTCAGATTCTAGCTGTGCCTTTCATTCCTCGTTTTATGTGAGTATAGATGGAGGTTGCTCAGACTTCACTTACATGTTGTGAATGTGGCCAGATGTCTGATACTCTGGTTTTTAGCCTGAGGTTTTGTAAAGCTGAAACTTTAACTGAAACTCAGCCTTTCTGTGTAGTCAAAGCATCTTTACCTGCAGACGAGAGGGAGAGGGTGGACATGAACACACACACAAACACACACAAAAAAGGTTTGTTCTGAGGACAGACAAGAGACGTGTTAATGCACATGCTGGACTGAGTCGAGGTTCACAGTGTCGGAAACTAAGATTAGAAAATAATACTGCAAACTGCTGAGTCACACACGCACACACACACATAGGACACACACTCAGCACTTTAATTAAGGCCTGAAGCCACCTCCACATACAGAGCATTCTTTTAATCAGGTTCAGACTCTGAGCTTCTCTTCTGTGTCCTCCTTCACACAAAAAAAGATTGGTGTAACACAAGGACACAGAGAACAGGATCGCATTAAACCAGAGTATGTAGGTACTGTATATCTCCCGTTGCCTCTACTGACATATTCAATTATCTGCACACTCACAGACAAATACTCCTGGATCACCTGATCAGTTCATATTCTGCTGCTTCACTCAGGTCATCCTCACAAAGACAATTTAATCTGCCTAAATCTGATTAAAAAGATGAATTGCTGTAAATACTGAACATCAGAAGAAACATTGTACGGATCCACATGAGTCACCGAAGTGCTGAGAAGTGAGCCCTTTAAAATAAATAAATAAAAAAAGATGGTTGTGCTTGGTTGTAAAGATAAATGTCAGTTTTTGCAGAGAATTTCACAGATGTCACGAGAGCCTGCTCTGCTAAGATAGACCTTATAAGAAGGACACATACGTGTGCATTAATCTTTACAAGGCCGAATAACTGACTGTATATGCCACTCAGTTAATTCACATGTACATTTATTTATTCAGGGTTTTCTTAAAGGTTAGAGGTTAATGTTAAGGCTTACATTTGAACTTAAGATCAATAAGAACGGCTATACTCATAGATGGGTGTGTTTTCAGAGATTCAGAGGATTTAACATGCTGCCAGAGAAATGTCATAGGCATCTTTAAATAACAGACGTCACTTTTAATACTATTTTAAAACACTCAAAGATTGTACATATTAATATTTCACTATTTATTAAAAAGCAGCATGCAATTTAAGAAATACAATTGTACAGTCATTTTACATAATAATTGGTTTTCCTTATTAATTGGAAATGTATAATGCCTGTATCTTACTCAAAGTATTCCCAAAATATTGTGTATGAGCAACAGATCAAAAGTTGTCTATACTTATATAAAAGGTGGATTTGTTTTCCAGAGTCCAGAAGGGGTTTTATATGAGCCCACTGGGTTTACGGTGGGTTTCGTAGCTCCTTTCTAAGTGGGTCAGGCTCACTCTGTCCACAAATAAAAGTTCATTGTGTAAAGCTACATCCAACAGGACACCCAAATAAATACATTCATAAAATGACAAAGGCTCTTTACCTTTCAACCAGGATTACATGGGGAGGAGTAGTTGTGCTTTAATTAGGTTGTGGTGTTCATTAGAGGTTAGCGTGTTCAGCTGGACAGACGATAAGCCTTCATCATCCTCCTCCCTCCTCCTCCTCCTCCTCCCCTAGCCAGGCTTTATAAATGAGAGAGCTCCAGTTGCTCCCCATAAGAGCAACTGGTTCCAATAAGCGTCAGAGAATCCACGTCCCTTTTTCCCCCCTCGAGAGACGGCCGCCGTGGAAAAGAGGATGCTGCAGACACGACTGATGATGCGTTCAATGTCATCTACACAGGAACATTGACTTTCTAGACATAACTTAAAACTCGTCAATTTCAAAAATAGTTTTCTCTTGATTTTTCAAATATAAAGACAGATACTGAAACAATCTTAAGGTCGTCTGAGATCCACCTCTGCCCCGGAAAGTGCGTCTTCTTCTCTGCGCCGTAATGAGTGCCCTGCTGCCGGCGTGGCTGTGGCTGCTCGGCCTCTTTCCTCTGGAGATCCAGTCCCGAGCTTTGACTCTGCACAGCCTCACTCACAGACACAGGTAACACCGCCTTACTGCACATTATTCACACACCAAGTGTGTTATTTGGGAGTGATGTCTGGGTTTCTACAGGAAGCACAAAATGAACTGTGTCGAGGCTATATTACCAAATGCAAATACTATTATCAGAATATGAACACATTAGTAGGCCTAGTGTTTAAACATTTAAGGACATCTGGTGAATGTCCAGATAGTGAGTTTGACTTTATATTTAAAATAAACACTTACAAACTTAAAAAAAATCATCAAGTCAAGTTAAACGAGCAGTTTCTGGTTGTAAAACATTTCCAGAAAATCCAATGATTTCATGATTACATGTGTTTTTATTACTATATTGATTTAAAAAAAACTTAGGGTCTTTGGTGGAACAAAAGAAGATATTAAGAGATGTCAGCTAAGGCTATGGAAACTGGAGATTAGTCCATTTCTAGAAATAAATACCAATCAATCATTGAAATAAGGAACATTGTTATTAAAACATGAGAAATGAGTGACAGATCTAACTGTGAAAGGCAGCAGTTTGTGAACATTAAGCATCTGTGTCTTGGCTTCTGGCAGTCATTAATGTGGAAAAAAAAAGGTCCAGGCAGAATGAGTTATTTCCATTCAACAGCAAGAGGTGAGACAGAGATATAGTTGATTGAGGACAAAGACACATGCACATCCCAAGATCATCATGTGAGTGTGTTCCATCACATGCAGATCGCTGCAGCATCCGTTTGTTATTCAGCAGCCTTTGTTGTCTGACAAGATTCTGATGTATGACTTTGTGTGAGCAAAAGAGAGTCCAGTTGGGTCTTTTACTAAAATGTTTTGATGATTTCTTAACCATATAACTGTGAATCACAGTGTTCTCATAGTTGAGGCACTAAAGACAAAACGTTTAGTTGGATATTTGCATAATGGGGCTAGATAGCGTCACATACTTATTTAGCGTAATGATAAAGCTTTGGCACAATAAGAAATCATCAAAATATGATTCCATGTTGCATTCATATCTGCACACATTAAGTTTCAACTTTCTTTTACACTTTTCAATTGTATTTTTGAGGAGGAAGAACAGAGTGAATCTCAGTTTGATTCAACACTGATAGATATAGCATAATACTGCCACTGGCACTTAACAAAAGGTTTCTTGGAAAATGAAAAGGTGGAAGAAAGAAAAATGAAAGGATCCTGTAGTAATTTAGAGAAGACAGATGGATAAGAGGAGAAGAAATAATGAACAGACCCTGTAACATTTCCTTAAGTGAAACAGTAGGGGATCTGACAGGGACAAAAAGCTGTCTTTTGAGGAGTTATGTCAGGAGAGAGATTGTGTGTGTGTGTGTGTGTGTGTGTGTGTGTGTGTGTTTCAAGCTCCCCCATGCTGAGCTCTAACTTGGGAGGAATGTCGGAGAAGCTACACTTGATCTCAGACTGTGTCCAAGTTCACAACCTGGACTATCACACACACAGTTACAAGAGAGTGAAGTGTGTGAGACAGATCCTAACAGATAGAAAAGTCAGAAAGAAATCCATGTTTGTTCATTTTAATACTGCTGGCATGCAGAGTTGAGACAAACGTCCAACATCAAAACTACATTTTATAACTATGCCAGCAGCGTGGCTCTGTTGCTGGCAGCATCCCTTTGTTCACTTTGGTCCACCAATATCTTGCCAACTATTCAATGGGTAGGCCCAGATTTTGCAGATGCATTCATGGTCTCCTGATTAATCCTAGAGACTTTGGTGATCGACTGAAATTTAAGATGATAGCATGGGGCTGATATTTTTGCTTTTGAGTGATGGATTATAACAACCTTACATTACATAGTTGTTGTGAAATGTGCTACAGTTGCTCCATGTCCTTAGAGGTTATTCTTCAAGAACTTCTGCGGTTTTCTGACTTATAATCACATCTTAGGGGTCAACATTTTAATCGGTCCAATTCTTTGATTTGTGACCAAATACCTGTAAAATAGAAGAAATTCCCATCAGAACCTGAAGAAGTCTGAATTTGCAAATGCTAAATTGTGATGTTGAGTATGATGAATCTTACACCAGCAGAAAATCAGAATGTCAGCACAAATACTAACATTAGCAATTAGAAGCTAAGCTGTGCCTGAGTGAAGCCTTACAGAGCTGAACGCTTGCCTGTATACACCTGCAACTTAAATACACAAACATAGTTTTGCTTCTGTAGTTGTACGGAGGTGCAGATAATTCGACCTGTGTTTATCTGGCAAAATGTTCAGTGGCCTACATATGCTTGTACAGGAAGGCACCTCAGCGCCAAGTGCTTTTTCTTTCATAGACAGCTGTTTTTAACATCACCGCAGGGGGCCTTTTTAACTGTGTATTTGTGTGTGCATGCATGTGTGAGTGTGTTTTTTTTTTTGTGTAGGAGAGGTGTTTAAAATGGAAGAGACACGTGAGCACATTGAATCAGTGTTAACAGATATGTGAGTTATGTTTCCAGTCAGTCACATACAACTGGCATGTGTGTCATGTGTGTGTGTGTGTGTGTGTGTGTGTGTGTGTGTGTGTGTGTGTGTGTGTCCGGGACTGCAAAATTCAATGAAATAAATTCAAAGCTAATAGAGTAGGGCAATCACACAAACTTCCTGGTGAAACTCAGTCAGGGGTGGGTGAGTGAATGAATGTGCATTTGTTTGTGTGTGTGTGTGTGTGTGTGTGTGTGTGTGTGTGTGTGTGTGTGTGTGTGTGTGTGTGCGTGCGTGTGTGTTGGCAGTGAGAGCTTAAGGTGTCCAGCCAGGAGAGTGATCAGAATACCAGTCAGGATTAGTTTCAGGATAAAGATCATATTATTTGGGCTATTCTGGCCCACTTTACAACACACCAAACAAACACAAACGTTATCTCACTCCTTTGTGTCTCAACTCGTGAACAGCCAACACTCGTGAATGGAAAAGTGTGTGTGCTGCACAGTCATATGTACAGACTAACACTGGGGATCATTTTTTTTTTCAGTTATTTGAAGTGAAAAATTGTTATGCCTAAATTGTTTATTGGTAAAGGGCTTTTTTGATAGATAGATATATAGATTGATGGATAGATCTAAATGCCAAATAGACTTTAAAAACCTGAGAATGCCCAAAAAACGTAGTATGAAGTTATTCACTCAAAAAGAACAAGGCAATGTCATATGCCTACATGACTGAAATATTAAAGAAAAGAGGCCTAGATTTGTTATTATGCCTTCATTCTTTTAAGTTCTCTACAGTTGAATATAACAATAGTAATGGATATAGGTTATGAAAACTCGAGTGAATGTGAATGGAGCCCAAAATGAATTATTGAATTGGATTAACCAATTCAAAAGAATCAAGCAATTTAAGCTAATCTAATTTTTTTAGTAAAAATTGGTGCTGACATCGGCATGGAGATCACTATTTCCTATATCCAACTTTAAATAGCTGGGAGTAACTATTGCATAACTTTTGACTGGTCACATGTCCAAACAGAACTGCTAGTCTCAAGTGGCTGGACTCTTTAAACACTGAGAAAGAGGAAATGATGAATTGGAAAAAAAAAAAAAAGAATGAGTATTGTGACAAAGTGAGAAGAAAAGTAAGGTTAGCAGCAGGGAGGCGATAAAGAATGTACTTACCAAACACTTACTGTAAGAGGAGTGTCGCTGGAGGAGCCTCTTACTCCCATCTTTGTTGTGCTCTGTGGTCGTCACTGTGGTCTCCCTCCCCCGGTGGAAGATTTGTCTGCTCAGGTCCTGTTGTTGATTAACTTGATTAAAAATAATACATTTTTAGCTGCGTTGGTAATGGAGTAGATGGAAGTGACAATTGGTTGTTGTCTGGGTCGGTTTAGACCACTTTAGTCTGGATAAAAGCAGGAAGCAAAGTAACATGTAGGGGTCTCTATTTGGCATTTTGTACTCTTGGCCCAAAATTTTAATTATTGACATGTAAAAGAAAAGAGCTCATCAATCTTGAACTGTGTTCAGCAGGTCCAAGTGAAGATGAGTAAGCAGTATTTAATTATCGCAAGTGTTCACAGTAACATGCTAAGATTTTGTTGTTTACCATCTGAAACAATCAATTTTATCTTCACGTTACATAAAAAAAGACAAAGAGGGTTATAAGGTAGGAAGCCATTTGAAACGATGTTATTTGACTAAAAGGTCCATGTATTTGTGTAGGTCATTCCAGATGTGTTAGTTCACCACCTTATTTGCCTCTATGAAGGTTTATTCTCTGGTGGGCCCACTGCCCAACAGACCTGTAGCATTGCTTAATATGTAAATTATGTAACCTGAAACTTGACTTCTCTGTGTGACTTCTAGATTTTAAAACAGGTTATCATAAAGCTCAGGAAACTGTTGACTTGACCTAAACACCTGGTTTGAAGTATGTTCTCTGGTTCTCTGGATGATTTGAAGATTGTTGCGGGTCAATTCATGGAAAGGAGGCTTCAGCCGAATGTGGAATCTCAGATACAGGAGTAACTCTGAGTATTCTGGCTGTGAGACAGTGGACCAACTCTGACTTAAAGAGCTTTCAATTAATCAACTAGTCTGTTGGAGCCAAATTATGTGTTTGTTTTGTGCCATGGTATTGTCCTTGTGGTTGTGTGTGTTGGCCCTCTACTGGGCTCTGTGTGTAGCCTGGGCAGATGCTGTGGTTAAAGCAAGGCTCCAGGTGAGGTGGGACAGGTGATTGAATGGAGGCAAAGAGTTTTTTTACCGTGTCAGCCTGTCGGAGTTAAACGCATCCAACGCGGATTTGTTTGTTTTATTTATAGACGTAGTGGTTCGTCATATTTTCCTTTATTTGATAAGAAGTGTTTAAAAATAAATGGATTGAAATATCCAAATCAAATCATCAATGGACCGTGATAATTTCTTTGAGCTAAGCACGCGTCCGAAAGCTTCCACATTCATCCCTCAAGTGACTTTTCCAAACAATATTGGGTTTGTTAAAATTGGTCACAACAAGTCAGTTTTTTTTTTTTAAACGAATGTAGTGACTTTGAGTTCCTGAAAAGTGCTTTATAAACAAAATGTTTTTTTTATTATTATCTGCATTCAGTCCCTCACTGTGGTCATGAGCACTGAGTATTGACCAGAGAATGAGATCACAGATTCAAGCAGCCAGAAATTAATTTCCTCTGCAGGGTGGGTGGGCTTAACCTTAGAGGGGAAGTAAAGGGGACCAGATATACGTGTAGGTAGAGCCAGAGCTGGCGGTAGAGATTTTATATCCAATCTGGCCTTGGAACGCCTCAGAAAGTTAGAGCAAGACGTTACTGGGTAGGGTTACTTCTCCTTCTTTCTTTCTATTTCATTGACTCGCTGATCTATTCATGGTATAAAAAGAGCAACAGATCAAGTACAGTGGACATTCCTGCAGTATAAGCCTGACTTCCTGTGAGGCATTTCATCTACTCCTGATTAAATTTCAGTCAGACACCAAAGCAGGCCGTCTGCACAACTGCTCAGGAAACTTGTGTGAACAGCGCTTGTGTCTGCTTGTGTGCTGCATGGTTTGACCATGACATCTAATCATTTTTGTTTCTATATTTGTCTTGGTCTCAGGTCGGCTCTACTCAGACCCTCCAAACACCCGAAGCCTTCTTTCACTACCATCACGCCTGCTGTGTCTGACCTCTTCGTTTCCACTGACAACCACTTCACCCATGGAGACAGACACATCATCTGGAGGGCCCTGCTGCACAAAGAGCCCCGGTTGAAATTGTTCAACCCGTCGCTTGATGAAAGCAGGCTTGTGCCGCAGGAAGGGCCCGTCGGTCTGCTCAGATCGCGAGGTCGCCGCCACGCAAACAGCGGCGGCACAAGAGGCCACGGTCATCTGATGAGGGTGGGATGTGTCCTGGGCACCTGTCAGGTTCAGAACCTCAGCCACCGTCTCTACCAGCTGATTGGACAGAGTGGGAGAGAAGGCTCCTCCCCCATACACCCCCGCAGTCCTCACAGCTATGGCTAAGACTGCACATCGAGCTAGCACAATGCTTTTACAGATAAACACTGGAAAGCTGTATCAGTGAACCAATGAAGAGAGGAAAACGGGCCTTTGATTTCTCCTAAAATGATGTCTCATGTACAAACAATCGCAGGCTGGATTATATTCTGTGGCAAAGATTTTTTTTCCTTTGGTTAAATAATCTATCCTCTCACGTGCTGCACCAGAGTTACGATGGATAACTGGCATAATAAGTGCAGAACTTTCATACCACACTTCAAGTTTTGCGTTTTAAACCAGACCACTGCCAGACCATCTCCCCTGAACCTTAACCAAAATGATGCCAGTGACAATTACACAGTTCTAAAAAAGCTTTATAATGCTGTTGACTCTCGTTTGTGCCAGGGGTTCCCACAAATAGTTTGACCTACAAACTTTTGGAGGTTAAAAAAAAAAATCAGATTTAGATGATGTGGTGAGGTTTTTGCATCGCTTCTTGCCAGGTAGTGATACAACAATTTTTCCTGAGCAAAATCATAACTTATAGGTAGATAATGGTCAATTCTCTAAATGAATATTTGAAATATATTCAAGATTTACTGTATTGTTTAACAATTCAACCTTCAGTTAAGGGTATGTGCAAGCCAGCACAAACAGAAGTTACCTTTAAGACCATCGCATGTACACTAAGTACTTCTTAGCCTTAACTTGCAGTACTATGTGATAAGTGCTTTACACAGAAATAACCATTCAGATGTGTGTTTAAGAGTAAAACTGTGCATCAGTGAAGCTCTGTCACACAGGTCAATGTCTACTATCGTCATCGTCGGTGATCCTGCTGATCTAAACTAACCTGAGCTCAGAGCTAATCCACTGTGTCCCTCAAAAGTACCTTCATCTCCCTCAGGGAGCAAGTAGCTTTACTTCTGTGGGAACATGAACTAAGAATAACCTCCAATCAAACCCAGTTAACCCAAAACCTCTCTAACCCTAATCCATGAAGTGTCTGGATGCTTCCTCACAGATAGATTGTCTTTTAACATGTGAACCAGGGACACTCGGACTATAATGTAAGGTACTTTTGACCTTAAAGGCCTTTATAATGTGTTGCCTTTACTGATCCAGAGTAAGTGTCACACTAAACATTTGCTGCTCAAAGTCTATGTTGAGCTGAATGATCGACTGCTTTTCTCTGTGCGTCAGGTTAGTATAACTGCTGATTCAGCTTGAATGTTATTATGAATGCATTAAAGCACTTTATTTTTTTTCATACAGTATAACTTTAACTAAATGTTTTATGTGACCTCAAATTAATGACACCACGTTGCTGTAAATATGCTAAATCTCCATGTCCCTGTGAACACCCTTTCAACCTTACAAGTGTCCTTGTAAACCCTTTGTGTTGAGTTTACTTACTACTTTGTTTTTACAATAACACTGTGAAGTAATAAAAAAGTCAAACCTTTATATGTGTAATGTCTGTCTATCTGTCTATCACTACGTTTGTGAGATTTAGGCTACTACACCGTTATTATATTCTAGGATGAATTGTTTGCTTGTTATGTCTGCAAGATGTCAGTATCATTACATGCACATTCAGCTTCTGTCCCATGGGGGGAATTAAAGGTTTGCGCTCTCAGCAGAATCTGTGGCATGCTTCACTGATACTGCTGAGAGCTAAGAGCAGAACCAATACCGGCAAATACAACCGTACAAACCATAAGGGCAATAAATGGTTTAATCTATGACGAGAGTATTCCTGACTGAAATGATATTTTCATGGTTTTACAAGAAGAAAAAATAACTAAGCACTAAAGGCTGAAATATATTTGGTGTTTTAGTCCGTACTAAATTCAAAAAAGTCTTGATCCTACATTTACTAAATGCAAAGGTTATTCTATTTCTCTAACTTTGGTTGCCCTTTGGGTAACAACTCAACTAAAATCTGTGCTTCATATCAGTGATATCTTCTTTTTCAGTCCACTCATGCATCTCTTTGTTTTTTTTACCAAAACAAGCCCCAAGCATCCAATTGTTATGAGTTAGATTTAGATGCGTCACACAGCAAAAGCCTCAGCTGGCACTATTAACCACTTTTAAGATGACCAATCAGATTAAACGGTTTGACCAAATCTCCACCAAAATTTAAACTAACACTTTGGAGCTTTACTGGTTAATATTAGCCTTACATCTATTATCATTATTATCATTATTATTACTAAAGTGAATCTTACAGCTGCTCAACTTCAACCTCTATAATTAACATAATCAGTCCTCCCTGATGACTGATCAACATGAGTCTGGTTCTGCTCGAGGCTTCTGCCTGATAACAGGATGTTTTTCATTGCCACTGTAACTTTGCTAAATATTGCTTAGTGCTCATGATGGAATAATGTCGGGTCTTTGTAAATAATATAACAAAGAGTAAGGCCTTTAACCTGCTCTTTTGTAAAGTGTCTTGAGATAAGATTTGTTATAAATTGGCACAATACAAATAAAGATAGATAAAGAATAGTCTGAGAGTAAATACAAAAGCAGTGTTTAGCAGCTTTGTAGATTAAGAAATGATGTAGGGGGTTTTAGTTTTTCGGCATGTTACATAACCCTATTACTAAGAACCAAACAGAAAAACAACCCAATCAGATATTTGTTGGCATTGCGGTCTCTTGCTAGGCATTTGATATATTTGATTATGTATTAACTGTAAAAAATGTGAATATTTCCTTCACTGGACAGGTAAAGGTGCATTTGAATTTGATAAGGTAAGTAAAAGAAAGCAAGATTTTAACGTGATGTGATGCTTTAGTAGGAGTTTTTGTTGGAGTTGCAAAGTTTGCATTTTCTAAATGCATCAAAGCAGATATTACTGCTGAATGTATTCATTCCAGATAGTATGTGAGAGGGATGTCTGTTGACCGGCTCTGATTCAAGTCACACAGAGAGTGGCTACGACTGGAGGGAATTAATAAATGATAAGTCCTGGGTCATTGACTAAAGCTTGTTTGAACACATTGGTCAACTTTGGATCAACAAACAAAGATTTCCATCTAATCAGTGGAAGTCAATGTGTGTGTGTGTGTGTGTGTGTGTGTGTGTGTGTGTGTGTGTGTGTGTGTGTGTGTGTGTGTGTGTGTGTGTGTGTGTGTGTGTGTGTGTGCGTTTGTTTGTTTAAAAAAACATTAAACCAGAACATTTGATACTAAGAAACTGGTCGTTGTGTAATGGGGTCAGATTTAAGATCAAACTGTGAAAGCAGCGTTTTAGCATTAGGGTTGTGTTTCTGTAAATTTGAAGGTTCTTTGTCATCCAGGCCTTTAATGTTCAAAGTTTAATCCTGAAGACAACTGGACTTGATCATCAAACTTGAAGATGTTGTGTGTCATTGTGTGTGTGTGTGTGTGTGTGTGTGTGTATGCATAGAGGACCGAGAAACTGTATATAAACTAAAGTTTGTAGGTTTTTCGTAAAGCTGTAGAAATGTACTCACTCTTATATTCTATATATACAAATAATATGAATAAAAAAATTAAGAAACCAAATAAATCAACTGTAATGTGGAAGAACCACTGAGTCATACTACATACTCGCCTGCTGATCATTGGAAAACACATGCAAGTACACAAGGCCAAGGTTCAACACAGGGCACCCCGTTAGTGGAGGTTTGGTTAAAGTGTGACAGGAGATTAGTCCACATTCTTTGTAGGCGTACAGGGAAGGTCATGCACATTACACTCTAAACAGGCAGGATATATACAAGTGGTGAATCCGAGCAGTCAACTCCAGAAGACCAACCCTGACCAAAACATCACAACAAAGACTTGCTCTGTCAGCCATGAAGGTCATCAACATGGTATGTGCTGTGGATTTAAAACAACACTGATCCAGCGCTATCATCAGAACTTCATTATCTATCTAAGTTATTGCACTTTCATTTGAAAAGAATGTGTCTTATTTAGCTTTTAGCTTTGCAAAGACGAACATATATTCAGTTCTTTGTGTTATTCTGAATGCAGGGTCCAGACCCCTCTCTGGCTTATCGGCCAAATTTGGAGCAGAATGAAACCAAAGCAAAGGAAGACTACAGAAACTACGAGGTAAGAATTCAAAGTTTCTCATCACAGGTGAGCACTTCAGAGTCGGAAAACATCATAACCATATTGAGGCCATCAGAAATTAAAAAGCAGTTCTTTTTACCATATATCAAAACTTCTAAACATTTTTTTATGGTTGCTGTTGTTGATCTTCTCTTTGTGCACTGATTTACCGTCCAGATGTTTTTTTCTGATACAGGAGCTTGTGTTACTTCCTTTATTCTTGTTATAGTAAGTCATATTTTAAACAGAACATTTTCAGGCCCAGTGTATGTTTTTATGAATGTGAATAATAGGGAGTTACAGACTTTGTACAGACAGTAAAAAGACAGTAACGCTGTTTATCTATTTTGTGTTCCATGTTTGTTTGCATTTCAGAGTGGAAGTCTCATTGATCGTGTATTCAAAACATACAAGCTCATGCACACCAACCAGACGCTGGACTTTGTGAATAAGAAGGCGAGTAAATCAGATAATTATCATAGAAAGCCTTTTACATGGATTAAAACATATTTTGCATAGATAACCAACGGAAATGCATCAAAATAGTTTGTGTTGTGTCAGATGTAGGCAATTCTGTTTTTCTGTAACTCGTCCTGTTTGTGACGCAACGATCCTCCTGCGAGACTGAGCAAACAATCGTCCTCCAGCCAACAGATATTACGCCTGAACCAAATGTTGTTTGATTAACCTCACTACCCCAAAGGTTTCTCAAGGACACTTTGCTGTTTTATCACTCAGCGATTGTATAGACTAGAATAGAATATAATTACTTTATTGATCCCAAACTGGGAAATTTGTGGCGTTACAACAGCAGGTTGTCCAAACACACAATATGAGCAAAAAAAACACAATGTTAGCAAATTCAAACACAATATAATATTAAATACAAAGTAAATAAGCACTAAAAATATCAAAACTAAGAATGGGAATATATACAACCAGGATTTAACTAAGCATTACTAGTCTTAAATATGAAAGATTAAATGTAAATGTGCAAAAACAGAGTTGTAAATGGACATTATCCTCTCTTAGGATTCCAAAGTTTTGGAAGACTTGAGATTAATAACATAAAAAAATAGTTCCCTTTCAGTTTGAATCATAATGTAGACTATTAGTGCTGTCTGGTAACAAAACAAAAGAAAAGCTGCTGCTGCTGCTGCTGCTTTGTATAGTTAATCAATACTTAAACAGAAACATCAAAGCATAATTATCAAGCTGATTGCAGACCTGATCAATCTATCTTTGAAAACCTGATCTATCTATCCCAATCTCGGTTTTCATGGGTGTAAAATGCTGCGACTCTTACCTTCCTGCAGCACTCTGAATGGACCAGTTGCAACCACACTGAGATGGGGATGATGGACACCGTCATGTCTCTAGACCAGCTGGTGGATGAGTCTGATCCTGATGTGGACTTCCCTAACTCCTTCCACGCCTTCCAGACAGCGGAGGGCATCCGCCAAGCACACCCAGACAAAGGTACACACACACACACACACACACACACTGTGTCGCAGCACGCACACAAGTCTGATAATTATCTGAATTCTCTGTCCTTCTGCAGACTGGTTCCAGTTGGTGGGTCTGATCCACGATGTTGGGAAGATCATGGCTCTTTGGGATGAAGCGCAGGTAGGCAACAGGTTCAATACAAGGACAGATAGTATGACTATCACATTCTTCCTCAAACTCAACCTGCCTGCACTGAATGACACCTACGATGTATGATTTAACTTGTGATATAAGTACATTTCAAACATTTGAACAGCAGTCTGTGCGTGTGCTTTTAAGTGGGCCGTCGTTGGCGACACCTTCCCAGTGGGCTGCAAGTTTCAGAACTCCATCGTATACAGAGACAGCACCTTCCTGGAAAATTCTGATGAAAAAAATCCCAAATACAAGTAGGCAGTTTAATGCCACTTGTTCACTTCAAATATTCAAAGTATTTCACCTTCTCATTATAACTGTACTGTTTCCTGTTATCCCAACCTAAGGTTTTAGAAATTCAACACTTTAACAAAGTTTTTTTTTTGCCTCAACTTTACACACATTCTTGTTAAGCGACTACTTTTTAAACTTTATTTCCTAATCAAAAAACTGACAGAAATGACAGAAACAAGGCTTTACCTTGCTCAACTATCCCTGTTTATTTCAGCACTTTATGTTTCTTATTGTTTTTTCTCATCAGCACTGAATATGGCATTTACGAACCAAACTGTGGGCTCGACAATGTCCTCATGTCCTGGGGTCACGATGGTAAGACACA